TCTGGGAGACGGGGCGCGCCGACCTCGGCCAGGTCTGGAACCCCAGAAGAGCCCAAAGCCTTCGCGTTTCCCGCCATCTCGGCATCGCTCGGACGTGTGCATGTTTCCTTCGGCGAGGACCATCGAGGAGCATCCTTGATCATTTGGCGAAAAAGCCACGCACGAAACCGAAAAAAACACAGGGAATGGACGTCCGAGCGATGGCCAGCCATCGCCCATCCTATTGTCGCCGCCGTCGCGCACTCCTCTCGCCCCCGCGCGCACAATGGAGAGCGCCGCAGTATCGAAGACGCCCACGGCGAGTCACCGCTTCGCCCTGCCTCTTGGAAACGCCCTCGCCGTGACGTGGCGAGCGGAAGCGCGGCGCCACAATGGTGGGCTGCCTGTTCACCCAAAACACTGGGGGAGCGGCATTCTGGGGCAGCCGGGGGACCGCAGTCCTACCTTTGGGGCCTGCTTGGGGGCCTCCCAGGGCCGTGCCAGGGCCCTCGGGGGCCATCCGGCGCCTTCAGAGGCCGTCTTGGGGCCTCTCTGGGCCGTCTTGGGGTCCCCTTGTGGGGCCCTCTTGGACCGTCTCGGGGTCTTGCTGAGTCTCTTCGGGTCAGAGCCTTCTTGGGCTGCTCTTCGGCTTTGGCCGTCTTGTTCACTCTTGAGGCCGAAACGGCGAGAACCTGGAGAAAAAAAACATGTGTTTGTTCAGTGATGGTGGCCTCCTGGGCCGACCCCGCGGGCCCCAAAGGCTGCCCAACCACAAGAGAGCCTCTTGGACCGTCTTATGTCATCTTGGGGGCATGTTGGTCGTTTTGGAAGCGCCTTGGAGGCCATCGTGGGCCGTCTTGCAGCCTATCTTCAGTCACCTTGGCAATCGTGGAGGCGGCCTCTCCAGTTTTTGCAGGCGCGACGCGGTCTTCCAGGTGGCTAGCGGGGTGCACAGAAGACACCATTGATGAGCTGTTGGAAGGGCCGAAGAGTGATTTGAAGCTCTGCCTGCCAAGCACCCCTCCAGCTGACTGCGGGGGTAGCGAGCCTAAAGGTGTGCGGCCTGACCCACCAAAGTTCCTGGATCGTGGACAGAGTCCACCAGAGGATTTATCAACCAAGCATGGCTGCAAAGATTGCTCGAGTGGGAAAAATGGTCCAGAATCGTCGACAAAGCCGCCAACCTTCGGTCCCAAGAGAGCCCCAGGACGGCGCCTGTGGGGCCAGGCAACGTGGGGGGAGTGTAGCCCCAACCGGTCTCCCGAGACCTCGGGAAAAAGTCACGACCAGGGCGTCCAAGAGCGCACGGAGGCGCTTCAGCATTCCAGGAATCCCAAGCATGGGGGTGCGACTGTTTCGGAGGTGTCCGTTCGCTACCTCTTCCTCCTCCTCCTCCTCCTCCTCCTCCTCCTCCTCCTCCTCATCATCATCATCATCATCATCATTATCATCCCTTCTTCTTCCTCCTCCTGCCTCCTACTCCTCCCTGTCATCAACATCAACATCAACCTCATCAGCAGCAGCAGCAGCATCATCATCACCAGCATCAGCATCATCATCATCATCATCATCATCATCATCATCATCATCACTCATCCTCATCCTCCGCATTATCCTCCTCCTCATCCTCCCTTCTTCTCCGACCTCCTGCCTACATCCCTGTCGCAACCTCAGCCGTGTTGGTAGGTCGGGCTGGGCCTTTCGTTTGAGACTTCTCCACGATGTATGACCCTGAAGGTTGAAATGTGCAGCAGCTTCACGGATGGAGGGCGGGCGGTTTTCATAATTTGGCTGTCGCTCGAGCGCCATGCACATTCGTCACAGAAGTTTGCAGTTGGTTCACGGATAAAGTGCGGGTGGTTTTCAAAAGATGGTTCTCGCCTGACTTGTGTTTTGGCACGATTAGGGGTTCTCAGACGGTTGCTGTCGGATGGAGCATTTCCCGCGATGAAGGGACATATGAGGAGGGAATTTGCGAGGGAAGGTGCATTGCGACATCATCGATGCATCTAGGGTTTACATTGGTCCTTCATTTTCTCTTCCTCCTCCCCCATTCCGCTTCCTTGTAGTAAACAAATCACCCTTCTCTCACCCCGAGACGTGTTGGTATGGTGGGCCGGGCGTTTCGCTTGAGATTTTCTCACCATTGATGATCTTGAAGCCTAAGATGTGCAACAGCTTCACGGATGGAGGGCGGGCGGTTTTCAAAATCTCGTTCTCGCCCTAGCGCCGCGCACATTCGTCGCAAAAGTTTGCAAGAGCTTCGCAGGCCGAATGCGGTTCTCCTTCAAAATGTGACCTCGCCCTCGCGCCGCGCACGTTCGTTCTCGTGCTCGTGAGAGCTTCACAGAGGAAGCGCGGCTCCTTTTGAAGATGTGGCTCTCGCTTTCGCGCCGCGCACATTTGGTTCAATGTTTGCAGAAGCGTCACGGATGGAGGCCGGGCTGCTGTCAAAATGCGCGTCGCGCCACGGCGCCGCGCACAGGCGTCCCAAGAGCCTGCAAAAGGCTTCGCGGATGGAGGCCGGGCGGTTTTCAAGGTGCGGTCGGTACTCGCTTTAGCGCCGCGCACATGTGTTATAAATGTTTTCACGACGTGCCGTTGACGGCAACACCGCATCGCTCACCCTCCAAATCTTCGCCTCCGGCTCCTGTCCGCAGCGTACCTTTTCCTGTGCAAGCTCTTCGGCACCGCCTGCACCCCGGGCCCCGCCCTCTCCGGCCGCCTGAGCCCCCGCCCACCTGTGCCCTGTCTCCCCAATTAGAGCTGTGCGTAGCCCGCCTAGCTTTTAGCGGAAGAGGTTCGCTCTCGCCCCGCCGACCAAAAAGTGTTATAACATGTTGCACCAGCTTCACAGAAGGAGGGCGGGTCGATTTCAAAATGCGGTTCGCGCCACAGCGCCGCGCACACTCGTCTGAAAGATGTTCAGGAGCTTCCCAGGTGGAGGGCGAGATCTCTGCGGGTGGAGGGCGTGTGGTTTGCAAAATGTGGTTTTCGTTGTAGTACCGCGCACATTCGCTTTAAAAGTTTGCAGGAGCTTTCGGGGTGGATGGCGGGAATTGTTCAAAGTCTCGTTCTCTCTTCAGCCCCACGCACATTCGTTTTTCAAAGTTTGCACGAGTTGCACGGATGGAAGGCGGGTGGTTTTAAAAACGTGGTTCTCGCCCAAGCGCCGCGCACGTCCGGCTCAAACAGTTACAATAGTTCCACGGATGGAAGGTGGCTCACGTTCAAAATTTGTTTGTCGTTTCGGCGCCGCGGACATTTTTGAAAGTGTGCAGAAGTTTCACGGGTAGAGGGCGGCTGGTTTTCAAAATTTCGATCTCGCCATAGCGCCGCTCACATGCGTGCTCAAAGTTGATAAGAGATTCGCAGATGGACGGCGGGTGGTCTTCAAAATGTGACTTCGCCCTAGCGCCGCGCACATTCGTTTTCGACGTTTGCAGAAGCTTCACGGATGGAGGCGGTTTGTTTTCAAGTGTCGTTTTCGATCCAGCGACGCGCACAGTCGGTCGAAAAGTTTGCCAGAGATTCACGGACGGAGGGCGGCTGGTGTTCAAACGTGGTTATCGGCATAGCGCCGCGCACATATCTGCAAAGGTTGCAAGAGATTCGTCGAAAGAGGGCTACCCTTTTTTCGACCTGTGGTTTTCGTTTTAGTTCTTCACACATTCGTTTCAAGATTACGCAACTGCTTGACCGGTTCTTACGGGTGGCGTCCCAGGAATGGTGTTCCGTCACGATTTAGGATTGTCAGGGCGCAGCAGTCACGTTGATTCGCGGTGTTGAAGTCCCAGGAAAGATGTTTTGGCACGACTCACGATCGTCAGGACGCAAGAGTAAACTTGATTCGCGGCGGACTCTCAGACGCACGTTTGAGGATTATCAGCCTGTTGTTTTCCAACTGGGCACTTCCAGCAGTGAAAATACATGCCTGTAGGGACCTAGGAAGATAAAGTTTGGAGGGAGGGTTGATTGGAACATCGTTGATGCGCCTTGGGTCTACACTGGTCCTCTGGCCACCTGGGAGCAGCGTTTGGCAGCGCGTCATTGGAGAGTTTTGCAACGGGAAGCCAGGGGCAGCAGGTATACTGTATCATGCACTCCCGTGCCCAGTCCGCCCCGCCTGTGACAGGTCGGCATTCTGCGCGGGCCAGGCTTCGGCCTGGCGCTCCCAGCAGTGCACCAGTTCCTCTTGGCGTTTCCCTATCGCACGAGGGAGCGATTCGTTTCGCCCACCAGGTCTGCGGTGTTTGGGAGGCGTTCGGATCAGGGCATCGATAAAGGGTCAGTCAGTCAGCCAGTCTCCTCCGCCGCCGCCACCGCTGCATCGTCGTCTTCCTGCGCCTGCCGCGACCCGCTCGGCCCGAGGGCGGCCACCCCAGGGTCCCGCAGCAGCGCTGGGCTGCCGCACCGGGGAGCTCGGCATGGCGCCGCTACGCTTTTGAAATCTATGCGGGCAGTGCCAAGCGGGGCCACCACCATCGCGGGCCGCAGAAACGACAGGGCGTTCTTGTTGCTCGGTTCAGTGTTTGCCTTTTTTGCTCCGGTTCCGTCGCCGTGTTTCCTTTGGTTCCGTCGCCACGCTTGTTTCCGATCCAACCGTTTGTTGCTTCGTTTCGGTGGGCCGCATCTTCGTCTTAATTTGCAAGGGCATGATGCTAGGAAACGGTAAGATAGGTGTTGCTGCTACCTTCCATGTCAAATCGAACCATGTCTGGATCACGTCTGGCATACAACTAGTTTACTGACTTGTTCGGCAAGTTCACCACCTCCAAGAGATATCCTGTGACAGACGCATCTTGCCTTTGCAAAGCTAACTTCGTTCAGAGGATAGTTGACTCCTGTTGGAAACCGAGGATCGAGGAGGAGGGGGAAGGATCGAGAATCGACGAGGTGTTTGACGCTGTTTACGTTCTCTGTGAGTCGTGGCGGGGTCTGGTGGGTCGAGGGGGGCGGCCTGTTTCCTCGAGGAAGTGGCGAGCATCCCTGGTGGAGACCCCCGTTGTCACTGCCTGGTGTATACGAAACCCAAAACTGCAGATGTTGCTCGCCAGCACCTTCAATGCCACGCACAGCTCTTCCATCATGGGCTCGATGGAGGGCGACGACGACGACCGCGTGGAGCATTTTGCGATCAGCATCAGCGTCCTAGCGGTCGTTGTCCTGTGGGTCCTGGCGCACAGGAGCTTCCTCAGGTCCACCGAGCAAGACTCCAGCCAGGAAGCCACACCTGCCGAGCGAGTGCAGTTGATGTGGCTCGGCGCCCTCGCCACTGGGTCCTTCTTGCAGCTGGCTGTGCAACTTGGTCTGGCCATGATGTCTGGATCCCTGACACTTATCGCTGATATGGGCCACGCCTGCGCCGACGTGGTGAGCTACATAGCCACCTACTTGGTCGAGTGCACCAAGGTAGACTTGATGCGCAAGACTCATAGCGACACTCAGCGTACCGTCGCCAGGATTGACGCGGCGTCGGGGCTGCTCAGTTGCATGCTGGTCGCAGGCACTAGCGCGCACGCTGCTATCGATGCTATCCGCAGGCTGCGGGGCGGCAGCGAACCAGATGGCACTTCCATCGGGTTCGCGATGCTCATGTTCGCCTGCTTCAGCACCGTAGTGAACGCGGCGCTGCTCGCAGCCCGGTACGTTGGTCCCTTGGCTCCGCCCGCCGAGCCGTCCGAGCTGCAGCCGCTGCTCGCTCCGAGGGTGCCGCCGGTGCCGTCGCCGGCCGTGCCGAGCGGCGGCCGCGAGCGGCCAGGGAGGGGCAGGAACCGCGGGCTGCAGATTCTGCACGCCGCGCTCCACCCCAGCTGCCGAGACCCCGGCTGCAGCGACGCCGACTGCGATCGGGGGAACGGCGCGCCCTCGTCCTGGTCGGCCAACCTGAACATGCACGGGGCCCTGCTGCACCTGGCGACCGACGTGATCCGCAGCATCGTGGTCCTGGCCGCGGGCCTGCTGCTGCAGGCCGGGGTCCTGAGAGACGCTGGGCGCGCGGACGCCGTGTGCGCGCTGGTGGTGGGGTTCTGCGTCCTCGCCGGGAGCGCCGCCTTCCTGGGCTCCTCGCTCACGAGCCTGCGCTCCGCTCTCTCCAGCGCCAGCGGGGCGAAAGGCCTGGCGGCGCGCAGAAGGGGATGGGGCGGCGGGGGGAGGAGGAGGGGGAGGGGGAGAGGAGAGGAGAGGAGGGGGAGGGGAGAGGAGGAGGAGGGAGGAGGAGGAGGAGGAGCCTTCTTGAGAAAGCAGGCGGGCCCCTGGCGGGGCCCCTGGGCGGAGGGGGGGGGGCTCCACGTTGTTGGCCTCTCGGGGTGCGGAGGGCCGCTGAGAGCCGCTCGGCCTGCGGAGACGGCCTCCCCCTCCATCCCCCTCGCCCCCAGCCCCTTGCTGCGCGCTGCCGAACAGGGGCGCAGACCGAGGCCTGGCGCGGCCTCGTGGAGGTCTGAGCTGGGCCCTGCGCGCGGCGGTGGCTGGCGAGGCCGCGGTGCAGCGGCGGGCCCAGCCGCGCTGCGTTTGGAGCGACGGGCCCCGTCGCAGCCGGCTTCCATGCTGGCCTGCCGCAGACGGCGCCCTGCACACCACCACCACCACGCTTGGCCAGGGCCCTCTTGGGCCCCAGGATGGTGTGTAGAGGCACCTGGCCTCGGACAGGATGGCGTGTGCGCAATGCCTGGACCCAGGATGGCCTTGGCCAGGCATGGTGGTGGTGTACAGGTGCCTTCTGCGTAGTACCTCGTTTCCCCTGCGCGAGCCCCTGGCGTCTCTGCTTTTTTTTGGCGACCGCCTGGAGCCTGAGCGGCTCAGTCTGTTCCTTGCAGGGCTCGACCTAAACGGTGTTTTGGCGATTTCGTGACCCGTTCTCGTTTTGACTCCGTTCTGCAGCGCAGGCGGGACGAAGACAAACGAGGGAAAACGAAAGCAAAACGAAAACGACAGAAACATTGCTTTGGCCGAGCCCTGGTGCCTTGCCCGACGAAGTTGTCCCGGCCGACTGCTCCCCCTGTGCCAAAAGGGAGAGGAAAAGCCACGGGACGGCCAGAGGAGGGGCACCAAGGCGCCACACCCCAACCGTCGTGTTCTTCTTTTTGTTGCCGTGCGCCCATAGGCGCGCGGCCACCCCTTCCCAGGGGCCAGTGCTTTTCTCGGGGTCGTCTCTCGGAGGACCCCCGCGGCCCGGAGAGGCCCCCCCCAGAGGGCCGACCTCGGCGAGAGACGCGGGCATCCAAGAATAACAGCGTCTAAGCTTCAGACGTCGTCATTTGCAGATGCCTCAGACTCTGAGGCGTGTTCTCGGAGGTGACGATAGGGGCGAATAGCCCAGGGCGGATCAACACATGTATCCAGGGGCACCGATGGTCCATGTCTTCGGCGTGGCTCCCAGAAGGATGTGTGTAATATCCGCCCCTGGGCTATTCGCCAGTATCGTCGCCTCCGATGTTCGAGGAACATGCAGTGACCGAAACGCAAACTTTCGGAGCTCCACGCGGATTTCTTGGATCGGCGCTGGAGCCCCCTCCCAGGCGTGCGGAGCGCGCCAGGGGCGGCGCCAGAGGCGCCAGCCGCCAGGAGATCTCCAGCGTCGATCCGAGGAATATCTGCGAGGAATCCGAAAGTTGATGTTTATGCCATCACTTGAGCGACGGGAGAAAGGAGGGTCGACTGCGCGGACGTAGGCTCCCCACGCAGGGCCGCGCGGAAGCGCTTTCGCTCTCCGCGCGGTGTGCCACGCTTGCAGCCCGCGGAAGCCGCGGCGCGATGTCGATGTGTCGTCGTTTTGCGTAAGTCTCGGTTATTTTGCTGCCCTGATCTGAAGGTGCTACAGCGCAACACTGAAACACTTACAGCGTTCGAAGTGTTCAGGCTGAACACGCTGCGTGTTGGCTCGGCACGTGTTGGCCCACGTGTTGGCGAGCGTGCCGCGCTAGACCTACGTGTTCCATCTGCGCGTGGGGCCCCGTGTCGACGCGCTACGGGTTGCGTGCTGCGTAATTGGGCGGCTAAGCGTGTTTGTCTTCGTCGCCCGTTTGATCCCCGACCTGTGTCCCCTTCGCGTCGCTCCTCCTCCTCCTCCTCCTCCTCCTCCTCTCCTCCTCTCTCCTCCTCCTCCATCCCTCCTCCCTCCTCCTCCTCCTCCTCCTCCTCCTCCTCCTCCTCCTCCTCCTCCTCCTCTCGCATCCGTAGCTATTTTGGCTCAAGCCATTTTGGCTCAAGGTTTTGGTTTCCCTTGTGAACAAAGTGGATACCGTTAGTCCGCGGCCAGCTTTCGAGTTTCGCCTGGTTCGCCCCAGGCTGAGCAGTGTGTGGTCCGCCCCACGCACTGCAGGACATCACGACGGTTAGGCAGTGCACTGGCCTGTGGCTCACGCTCTTCAGTTTGCTGCCATGGGGCCCAAGGCCCGTCGTGCTGCCGCACGGCCTTGGTACTGCAAGTGGTGTAAGCATGAGCCTTCTGGCACCAGCTGGATAAATCATGTTGATCACATGTGGTGCGCGCGCTGCGGGTTGCCCAAGAGCAGCGCGTACAAGGGCGCCCCTCCTCCCAAAGAGCCGTCGCGACGTTCTGACAGTACTTCGCAGGCGAGGGAGGACAGGATGGTTAAGCAGATTGTCGAACTTCGCCAGCAGTTGGAGAGGTTGGGTCGTGCGAGTGGCCAGCAACCTGTGACTGCCTCAGCCCCGCCTTGGAGGACTGGTGCACAGGGTGAAGTTGCGACCAAGAGAGCCCGTATCCAGCAGCTTCATAACCTCCTGGGCCAGCTCGACCCTACCGACACTGAGGAGAAGGCAAAGTTCGCAGCTGAACGCGATCGGCTTCAGACTGAGCTACAGGCAGCGAAGCCCCTGGAAGCCAACCTCCAGGGCCTCTCACACCAGCTTGCCGCCGCCAGAGCGAAGCACTCTGGGCTACTGGCCAAGCTACAGGCCGCCCAGACGGCTGTGGAGAAGGCCCAAGAGCATTTGACCAAGGTTCAGCACGATGAGAAAGACGCTACTCAAGCTATTGTGGAGTTGGAAGATAGGATTCGTAAGACAGCTGTCACGTGCAAGATCGACGATAAGAACCCGTCATTGGAGACCTTCATCCTTCGGTCGGAGGCTACGGTTCAGCAGTTTGGAGCTGTCATCTTGGCGCTGGGCGGCACCTGCGATGTTGCTCAAGATGTTGCCAATATGCCTGCTATCATCGACCGCTTCAAGGCCGTTCCGCCGCATCATGCAGCTGCCGCCGCGGGCGGCCAGGACGCGGAGCCCTCGCCCCCCACGCCGCCCTCCCCGTTCGGAGGCAGCGGCGCAGGCGCAGCGGCAGCCACGGCAGTCGACGAGGAGGCAGCGACGGCAGCTCATATCCATGGTCTCGACGCCGAGACGCGCAAGGAACACCTCAAAGCGTGCGGGGTCAATTTCGGGCCCGCAGGTGAAGGAGCGCCAGAGCCCACAGGCGAGGTCCTCCGCGAGCAGCTCAAGCGCCACCTCGCCACGGCCAGCGGCGTGGCCAAGAGGCCCAGGACCACGACTGATTAGGTTGATGTGGTTGTTGTGGTGTTCCATCTTACTTGTAGCTGCAATGATGAACGGTCACTCTGCCCAGTCTCAGCCGCCAATTGCGGCCCCAGTCAATCTGATGGGCGGCCCGAACGTTGACCCGCTCGACTTTGATTACGACGATTTCGGGCCGACAGCCCCAGCACCACCTCTCGTGTAAGCAGCGAGGCGCGAGCTTGATTCTTGAGGGTCGATGGTGTCGACCCTCTTGCCTGCTGACGGGGGGCGCTGGCGCGCTCGCGTCGGCCGCCCCAGTGCCCCTCTCCCCCACGGCAGCGAGGCGTGAGCCTGATTCTGGAGGGCCGATGGCGTGGGCCCTCTTGCCTGCCGAGGGAAGAGATGGTGGCCCCGCGGACGCCCCCGTGCCTCCTTTCGTTTCAGCAGCGAGGCGCGAGCCTGATTCTGGAGGGTCGACGGCGTCGATTTCTCTTGCCTGCTTAAGGAGGCACGGGCGCAGCGAGGACAACAATGGCCAAGGGTGCTTCGGTTTCCGCGCCTGCTTCGAGCACAGCGCTGTCTTCCACCAGCAGCGGCCAGCCGTCGATGACCGATGCGCCAGGGGCGCGTGAACCTTCGGTGGGCCGGTGCCCTTCGGAGGCCCAGAACCGCCGTTCGAGTTCCCCCCCTCACGGGTCGGCTGGAGGCTCGGCCGCGAGCACCTCTCGGATTGGGTCAACCGCTGGCGCTGGGCGCCCCGCTAGGCGACGCCAAGGCAAGTTGTCCGACTTGGTCACGTTCAATGCCTCGCCCCTTGGCCCGCTCACCGACTATCTATCCGAGTCGGAAGCTCACGTCGCGACGGCGCAGGAGCACCACGTGGCGGCGGACAAGCTCGGCGAAAGGCAAGCGCAGGTGGACGACACTGGCTGGAGAGGGCAATGGAGTTGCGCGATCCCCAGCGAAGACGGCGGGCCTGGCACCACAGGTGGGGCGGCAGTACTCACGCGCGCCAACAGCATGATCACCTCACCTCCTGGGCGAGAGTCGCACGAGATCGTCCCAGGTCGGTTGGTCGCCGCCCACGTACACTCGCATCTGCCAGGCGGGGTGATTTTCGTCTCAGGGCACTTCAAGGACGGCCAAAGCTTAGGGCCGCAGAACTCCACCATCCTCTGGCAGCTGATCGAGTATCTCGCAGTGCTCAACGGCATGCAGATCGCGCGGGTGGTCGGCGCCGACTTCAACATGGAGGTGGATGTGCTGACCCAGTCTGATTGGCTCGCCGCGGTCGGCGGCATCTCGCTCGTTGCTAGCGCGACGACTTGTCGCCGAACGGCTCCAGGCACAAGGATCGATTATTTGATTGGCGGCAGCTGGCTGGCGCCAAGGTGTGCCGCGAACCCTGTCTGGGTCCGAGAACAGGCAACTTCTTCTCCGCACCTCCCCGCGCAGGGCCCAGGACACTCCCGCGTGGATACGCGCTGCCAAATTGCCGAAGACGTTCCAAGCGGTTCCCCCGATTGGTTGTGCGAGATGTCCTGCTTATCCGTGGGAGGCCGTGCTAGATGTGGCGGCCCCACAGATCCGCTCGGCCGAGCAGCTCCCAGAGTTCCGGGACCGTCCTGGAAGGGGTGGAAAGAGAGCTCGCGGCCAGGTGGGACCGCGTCGGCAGTTCCGCGGAGGCCCATGTGGGCCGCGCTGGGCCTCAGGAGGTTCAGTGGAAAAAAGCTCGCCTGGTCTCCCTCCAAGAAGAGGACGCATAAGGACCCCGAGGCTCGCGCCTGGGCCGCAATGCAGGGACGGGCCAAACACCTCGGGAAAATGCACCAACATTTAAGTTCGGAGATAAAGCACCTGCAAGAGCTGGACTGCCCTCCCCCGCTTGCCCCCATACAATATTCTAAGCTGCTGCAGTCACTCCGAGAGCTCCCACAATGCATGGCCAACGTTGCGCGGCGCAAAAAGGTTTTGGCTTGTCTCGACATTCACACGCTCGAATTCTTTTCCAGTGGGTTCTCCATCATGGCCCGCCCCGATTGTGCTGACGTTCTGTGCTTGGTTTACACCGGGGCCAAAACGGCGATTTCGGCCGCCGAGAACCGCTCCACTCAGGCTTGGGTGTCTTGGGCCAGGGACTCGTTTAAAGCAGGTGCTTCCCAGGCGCACAGATTCTCGAAGGTGAATGCCGCCCAAGAGATTGTTTCGTCCATTGCGCGAGCTGCACCGCATCAGCTTACAGACGAGTTAAAACCTAGGGCTGACGCATGGACCACGCACGACAGCCCAAAGGCTAAGACCCCTCTTGGGTCAGACGCCTGGCCACAGCTGCCCACCACCACTACAGGCATGGTGCAGGACGCAGTCTTGCGTGATTCGGCGCGGACGGCGATTGGACCCAGTGGCCTCCATCCCCGCGCGCTGCATCAGTTGCCTGACCTTGCTTTTGCCGCCACCGGTCGCCTTTTCACGTTACGCGAGCAGTTTCTAACCTGGCCAGCCGACAGAGCGTGCAACGAGCTT